TCGTCTGTGACACACTGTGATATACAATATAGAATAGTCTAGATCGTCTGTGACACTGTGATATACAATATAGAATAGTCTAGATCGTCTGTGACACACTGTGATATACAATATAGAATAGTCTAGATCGTCTGTGATACTGTGATATACAATATAGAATAGTCTAGATCGTCTGTGATACTGTGATATACAATATAGAATAGTCTAGATCGTCTGTGATACTGTTATATACAATATAGAATAGTCTAGATCGTCTGTGACACTGTGATATACAATATAGAATAACCCAGGTCGTCTGTGACACACTGTGATATACAATATAGAATAGTCTAGATCGTCTGTGATACTGTGATATACAATATAGAATAGTCTAGATCGTCTGTGATACTGTTATATACAATATAGAATAGTCTAGATCGTCTGTGACACTGTGATATACAATATAGAATAACCCAGGGCGTCTGTGACACTGTTATATACAATATAGAATAGCCTAGATCGTCTGTGACACTGTTATATACAATATAGAATAGCCTAGATCGTCTGTGACACTGTGATATACAATATAGAATAGTCTAGATCGTCTGTGACACACTGTGATATACAATATAGAATAGTCTAGATCGTCTGTGATACTGTGATATACAATACAGAATAGTCTAGATCGTCTGTGACACACTGTGATATACAATATAGAATAGCCTAGATCGTCTGTGACACACTGTGATATACAATATAGAATAGCCTAGATCGTCTGTGACACACTGTGATATACAATATAGAATAGTCTAGATCGTCTGTGATACTGTGATATACAATACAGAATAGTCTAGATCGTCTGTGACACACTGTGATATACAATATAGAATAGCCTAGATCGTCTGTGACACTGTGATATACAATATAGAATAGTCTAGGTCGTCTGTGACACTGTGATGTACAATATAGAATAGTCTAGGTCGTCTGTGATACTGTGATATACAATATAGAATAGTCTAGGTCGTCTGTGACACTGTGATATACAATATAGAATAGTCTAGATCGTCTGTGACACTGTGATATACAATATAGAATAGTCTAGGTCGTCTGTGACACTGTGATATACAATATAGAATAGCCTAGATCGTCTGTGATACTGTGATATACAATATAAAATAGTCTAGGTCGTCTGTGACACTGTGATATACAATATAGAATAGTCTAGGTCGTCTGTGACACACTGTGATATACAATATAGAATAGTCTAGATCGTCTGTGACACTGTTATATACAATATAGAATAGTCTAGATCGTCTGTGATACTGTTATATACAATATAGAATAGTCTAGATCGTCTGTGACACACTGTGATATACAATATAGAATAGTCTAGATCGTCTGTGACACACTGTGATATACAATATAGAATAGTCTAGATCGTCAGTGACACTGTTATATACAATATAGAATAGTCTAGGTCGTCTGTGACACTGTTATATACAATATAGAATAACCTAGATCGTCTGTGATACTGTGATATACAATATAGAATAGTCTAGATCGTCTGTGACACTGTGATATACAATATAGAATAGCCTAGATCGTCTGTGATACTGTTATATACAATATAGAATAGCCTAGATCGTCTGTGATACTGTTATATACAATATAGAATAGTCTAGATCGTCTGTGATACTGTGATATACAATATAGAATAACCCAGGGCGTCTGTGACACTGTGATATACAATATAGAATAGCCTAGATCGTCTGTGACACTGTGATATACAATATAGAATAGTCTAGATCGTCTGTGACACTGTTATATACAATATAGAATAGTCTAGATCGTCTGTGATACTGTTATATACAATATAGAATAGTCTAGATCGTCTGTGATACTGTGATATACAATATAGAATAGCCTAGATCGTCTGTGATACTGTGATATACAATATAGAATATTCTAGATCGTCTGTGACACACTGTGATATACAATATAGAATAGCCTAGATCGTCTGTGATACTGTGATATACAATATAGAATAGTCTAGATCGTCTGTGACACACTGTGATATACAATATAGAATAGTCTAGATCGTCTGTGACACTGTGATATACAATATAGAATAGTCTAGATCGTCTGTGACACTGTGATATACAATATAGAATAGTCTAGATCGTCTGTGACACACTGTGATATACAATATAGAATAGTCTAGATCGTCTGTGACACTGTTATATACAATATAGAATAGCCTAGATCGTCTGTGACACTGTGATATACAATATAGAATAGTCTAGATCGTCTGTGACACACTGTGATATACAATATAGAATAGCCTAGATCGTCTGTGGCACTGATATACAATATAGAATAGTCTAGATCGTCTGTGATACACTGTGATATACAATATAGAATAGTCTAGATCGTCTGTGACACTGTGATATACAATATAGAATAGTCTAGATCGTCTGTGATACACTGTGATATACAATATAGAATAGCCTAGATCGTCTGTGACACTGTGATATACAATATAGAATAGTCTAGATCGTCTGTGACACGGTGATATACAATATAGAATAGTCTAGATCGTCTGTGATACTGTGATATACAATATAGAATAGTCTAGATCGTCTGTGACACACTGTGATATACAATATAGAATAGTCTAGGTCGTCTGTGACACTGTGATATACAATATAGAATAGTCTAGATCGTCTGTGACACTGTGATATACAATATAGAATAGTCTAGATCGTCTGTGACACGCTGTGATATACAATATAGAATAGCCTAGATCGTCTGTGACACTGATATACAATATAGAATAGTCTAGATCGTCTGTGATACACTGTGATATACAATATAGAATAGTCTAGATCGTCTGTGACACTGTGATATACAATATAGAATAGTCTAGATCGTCTGTGATACACTGTGATATACAATATAGAATAGTCTAGATCGTCTGTGACACTGTGATATACAATATAGAATAGTCTAGATCGTCTGTGACACGGTGATATACAATATAGAATAGTCTAGATCGTCTGTGATACTGTGATATACAATATAGAATAGTCTAGATCGTCTGTGACACACTGTGATATACAATATAGAATAGTCTAGATCGTCTGTGACACACTGTAATATGCAATATAGAATAGTCTAGATCGTCTGTGACACTGTGATATACAATATAGAATAACCTAGATCGTCTGTGACACTGTGATATACAATATAGAATAGCCTAGATCGTCTGTGACACTGTGATATACAATATAGAATAGCCTAGATCGTCTGTGACACTGTGATATGCAATATAGAATAACCCAGGGCGTCTGCGACACTGTGATATACAATATAAACACCGTAAGGCTATACAAACGGAATATAACTTGTAGTGATGTACCAATGACAACTTGTCGCTTAGGTCACCATGGACGCCTGGTACAATGTCGTCATCGTCACAGCATGATCGTTGATATGGTCACTGTAAAGTCACTGTCGCAGATGTATATTATGTAACGTATGTAATTGCAGGATTGTATATATGTCACTTCTGACACTACGATTGACTCATCATTTTAGACCTATAGTTTATATATCAAACTCGGGAGTAATTACGACAGGCAATCCAAACCTATATGATACATTGTGTTAATTCATTGATATGTTGGACATTGCAACACAATTAACGAAGGAAAACATTTTGCCCTATCCTGGCCTTGGAGTCACGATCTACGGCACGCAATCGTCTACCCAAGAAATTCCATACTGCTTAACCATTTGCCTTCCTTCGTTCATTGTAGTACAATATCATATATATTTGTATTTCAAACCAGTTCACTGTTTAATAAATAGTAACGTGTACAGCCCATCGTTCTGACGGCTTGTAGTGAAATAAAAAATGGCTGAATATCGATCCATAACTCCTGATTGATAAACACATGTGTCTAGAGTTTCTAGAGCAAACTGACAATGATGATATCAAGTTGTATGGATGATATCCATACTCAGTACACACAAAGCCATTGAACCTTTATATAGTACCAGTATAGGTAGTATCTACATCAGAGTACAAAATATGTCCTCACGTACCGGGGTCTGATTCTCCACACACATCCTTTACAATGCTTTAATCGTACAAAGATTGTAGAAACATAGCTACAATTGTACATACAAAGACTGTACAGACATAGCTACAATTGTACATACAAAGACTGTACAGACATAGCTACAATTGTACATACAAAGACTGTACAGACATAGCTACAATTGTACATACAAAGACTGTACAGACATAGCTTCAATTGTACATACAAAGGCTGTACAGACATAGCTACAATTGTAATACAAAGAATGTACAGGCATAGCTACAGTTATACAAATATTATAAATCGGTCCTTCATTTTCAGGTACACATGTATTTTATTGATTTCATATTTGTTCAAGTAAGCGTCGTCAAATGAAAATTGAATCGTTAATGACAATACTCCGATTTCATTAAATCTTGTAGGTGTAAGGATACTTGTTTCTTGTCACCAGTGATCCGGGGAAATTTAGACGGTAAAGCCAGGGAGACAATAAGTCAAGACATCGTGTCCTTGACGTCACGTTTGGTATCAAATGTAATACCTGTAATGCTTAGGGGATATTAAAGGTGTTCTATCAACAATGACAAAAATCAATATTTCTTGCTTGTCTGACAGGAAATATCCGTAGATTGTGTAAGCGACGTAACGAAATCGTATCTCTTGATTGCCTTCAGGTATCAATTTTACGCGGCTCAATAACTTTGACATTCATTCTTGCCGAGTTGTTTAAATGTAATTATTTTAATACCACAAAAAACGCTATACTCACAGGCACATTTAATGAAATATTTTCGCCTTTAAATAGGTAGTCCTTCCCCTTCCTCCAATGCGGTATATTTCTCTAGTGAGTATTCAAGCAAAACGTTTATTAAAAAAGCACTATAATCATGTCATATTTTTTGTATTTCATTTTCCCAGCCAGATGAGGAAATTGATGAGTGAATTCAACGGATCCGCTGATGCTTTAGTGAGGAAGCTCAGTCACCAATCTGACGGTCACACGCAAATTAACATGTTCAACGAGTTCAACCATATCGCATTGGACTTAATTGGAAAGGCAATGTATCTATTCTCCTCCTATTTAATTGGAAAGGCAATGTATCTATTGCCTTCCTGTAGATGTAAGACCGGATGCTACGAATAGGTGATGGTGTATCTATTTATTTGTTAAACTGATCACTCGTTATTAGGAAGATGCCATGCCCAATAGCAATCAAGTTACATCTCTGTTTCTCCATTTGTCTACCCGCTCTGTCTGTTCGGTTTCTTTTTGCTTCGACAAAATGTTTCAAGTTCTGTAATGTCACTTACCTGAAACGTTACCCAATATTTCTTCGAAGGAGGTGCTTGCTTAGGAGTGATTTTCTTATCCTGAGGTCAAATTACAAGGTCAATGTTGCTATACTTAGAAACCCGTTTTCAGCAGATTACCTTCAGATCTATTTGATGATAACACAGAGGTCAAACTTCAAAGTCACCAACACAATTAATAGAAATGGGAATGAATTTTATTGGCAAATATATTTACTTAATGCATGATTAAGTATATTTGACTGAAATCAAATGAGAAGTCACCTGATCACAGGTCAAGGTCAAACTATTTTTTGTGCCAGATATTGTTTCATGACACTCTAGCAGATATTTATTACATGATGTAATAGATCATTATGGATTGAAATTAGATAAGAAGTCGACCGACCACAGGTCATGTCCATCAGGTCACAGGTCAGCTCATGTCAAATTATAAATATTCTGGTGGTAGATATTGGTTATAACGTTGAAGGTTAAAGTCAAATTATATATATATATATACATATATATGTCACAGGTTAATCAGTGTCTATAAAGCTAAATATCTAATGTCAATGTAACACTCAGGTTAAGAGTATGTTAGGGCCGGTTGTTGGTATGGATTTTATGTCAAATTGCCTGCAAATGACACTACTACAATGTTATACAGGTACAGGTCTTATTTCTGTTTGTGATAAACGTACTGCTGCTGTCAGCGTTGCTTTTAGGATGTATTTCCAAACCTATTTAGTAAATAGTGGCTCACATCTAAATATACAAAATTACGAAAGGATTTTAATTGTGGTCATTATTTAAATTTTGACAATTTTCAAAAACAATTTAGATGTGTTTCTAGGTCTCATAATTTAGACCTGAACATTACTGACGAGTTCCACGACAAAACAGCTGTATGCTGCAGTTTAGTTAACTTTCTAAGTTTGAAATATCATATTTTCTAGTACAATCTTCTCTTTCTCATTGTTGTGTTTATCTTTTATTTTTACTGGTGTTGTACAGTATAATTTTGCTTACTTAATATGAAAAAACTATCAAATAATTTGTTTTCATTGAGGATGTCGAAACAAACAGGCAACTACCAAATGATAAAAGTATTACATGATGGCTGACTGAGAACTTTTCATACGTAAATAGGTCGCTTGCAGCGAAGACTTTGAAACCATCAACAGTGACACAAATCCATTTAGCAGGGCTTTCCGTGATGTATTTGAAGGCATCATAAAAAATGGAAGAAATCCTCTCATGATGGTTAGTAATGCAAGGTTATGTTTACCATGTCTCGTTGATGGGTTCTACAATCTGTAATTTATCATATCAGTGATTCCTGTCGTCTAATATATCATATAAGTGATTCCTGTAGACACTACACTTTTATGTTGATGAGCCCTGTCGACACTACACTGTGATTTTATATCATGTCATGACATGTACTGTCATGTAGACACTCTAATGTCTTAGTCTTCTAGACACTAAACTTTAATGTTGAAGAACCCTGAAATTATTATAAAGTTAATGAGCCCTGTAATCACTTTGATGTTGATGAGCCCTGTAATCACTTTGATGTTGATGAGCCCTGTAATCACTGTAATGTTGATGAGCTCTGGAATCACTTTAATGTTGATGAGCCCTGTAATCACTTTTATATTGATGAGCCCTGTAATCACTATTATATTGATGAGCCCTGTAATCACTATAATGTTGATGAGCCCTGTAATCACTATTATATTGATGAGCCCTGTAATCACTATTATATTGATGAGCCCTGTAATCACTGTTATATTGATGAGCCCTGTAATCACTATAATGTTGATGAGCCCTGTAATCACTGTTATATTGATGAGCCCTGTAATCACTTTAATGTTGATGAGCCCTGTAATCACTATTATATTGATGAACCCTGTAATCACTATAGTGTAATCACTGTAATATTTGATGTAATCACCTGTAATCACTGTTATATTGATGAGCCCTGTAATCACTGTTATATTGATGAGCCCTGTAATCACTATTATATTGATGAGCCCTGTAATCACTGTTATATTGATGAGCCCTGTAATCACTATTATATTAATGAGTCTTTCAGTATCTACCCAATATGGGTAGTGAGTAACGTAATTTCTGCTCTGCAATGCTGGTGAGTCATGTAGTCTTTAGTCTTTAATGCTCCTATTTGAATGATACGTCATGTATTCCCTTCTGATTGTCCGTCGTTTAATGATATGCCATGTAGTCTCTTATCCCTATTCAACTGTTGTCAGGTACACACTTTTCAACTTCTATCAATGCTACATCATATGGCTTCTTATGATAGTGCGATTTGTTAGCCTTGCAGAAAGGTCGTAAGAATTTTTGCCTGCTGCTTCAATAGCATGAAAATTAGAGGCGAGTTAACATGTGATCTTTGTTCTTTTTCCTAAGGCTCTTTCTTCCTGTAACGGTATTCCCTGCTACTGGTCTTTAGTTGATCATTCGCCAGTTTGAAGAAGTCTTTTGGGTCTTTCTCGTAGGCGATACATACCAGAGTCTTCCCAAAATGGTTGTCACTACTCTCAACTTCAGCATTTGGAAGTAAAACATGTAACCTGGCGGGGTGTCCTGTCCATGGGCTTCATTCCAATAGCACTATCTACTGTTAAGTCTCTTACTTTTACAAAATCAAGCTTACTTAATAATATGCCATTTCTGCATTTTCACACAACATGAACGTTTATGCACAGTACAACCCGATGAACTGGGCTTACTGCCGAAGTGTGAGAAAATCGTGCTCCTTCCTCAGACAATACTGTTCATCAATGATAGACGAGAGACTTGCCGCCATTTCTGACAATAACTATGTTCCTGACGACATTCTCACACATATGGTACGAGTTAAAGGTAAGTCGTTCGTCTATCTGTTACTATATCATTTTATCAAACGTCAATACTTCGTTTAGTTATAAATCAGTTAAATGTGTTAGATCTAGATAATTCGAGTTATATCAAAGCTGCTGTACTATGAAAAAAGAGAATAAGTATACTTGTAACAGCTGCTGCATAGTGATGTATAGATAAAATTATACTAGTTACAGGTGGTTGTATAGCGATGTAGATATTGTATGTATTACACAAACATTATTCCCAATAATGACAGGTCACCCCTTTTTTTGAAGTGGACTGGTTATATACCCATATCACTTATCAGTAATGCTGTCCCCTATTTAGACAGTTGTATACAGTATATACACACATTACTTCCCAGTAATGCTGTCCCCTATTTAGACTGTGTACAGTATATACACACATTACTTCCCAGTAATGCTGTCCCCTATTTAGAATGTTGTGTACAGTATATACACACATTACTTCCCAGTAATGCTGTCCCCTATTTAGACTGTGTACAGTATATACACACATTACTTCCCAGTAATGCTGTCCCCTATTTAGACTGTTGTGTACAGTATATACACACATTACTTCCCAGTAATGCTGTCCAATATTTAGACTGTTGTGTACAGTATATACACACATTACTTCCCAGTAATGCTGTCCCCTATTTAGACTGTTGTGTACAGTATATACACACATTATTTCCCAGTAATGCTGTCCCCCTATTCATACTGTTGTGTACAGTATATACACACATTACTTTCCAGTAATGCAGTCCCCTATTTAGACTGTTGTGTACAGTATATACACACATTACTTCCCAGTAATGCTGTCCCCCTATTCATACTGTTGTGCACAGTATATACACACATTACTTTCCAGTAATGCTGTCCCCTATTTAGACTGCTGTGTACAGTATATACAAACATTACTTCCCAGTAATACTGTCCCCTATTTATACTGCTGTGTACAGTATATACACACATTACTTCCCAGTAATGCTGGCCCCTATTTAGACTGTTGTGTACAGTATATACACACATTACTTCCCAGTAATGCTGTCCCCTATTTATACTGTTGTGTACAGTATATACACACATTACTTCCCACTGATGCTGTCCCCTATTTAGACTGTTGTGTACAGTATATACACACATTACTTTCCAGTAATACTGTCCCCAATTTAGACTGTTGTGTACAGTATATACACACATTACTTCCCAGTAATACTGTCCCCTATTTAGACTGTTGTGTACAGTATATACACACATTTCTTCCCAGTAATGCTGTCCCCCTATTTATACTGTTGTGTACAGTATATACACACATTACTTCCCAGTAATGCTGTCCCCTATTTAGACTGTTGTGTACAGTATATACACACATTACTTCCCAGTAATGCTGTCCCCTATTTATACTGCTGTGTACAGTAAATACACACATTTCTTCCCAGTAATGCTGTCCCCTATTTAGACTGTTGTGTACAGTATATACACACATTACTTCCCAGTAATGCTGTTCCCTATTTATACTGCTGTGTACGGTATATACACACATTACTTCCCAGTAATGCTGTCCCCTATTGATACTGCTGTGTACGGTTTATACACATATTTCCTAGAAGATATCTGGGATGTTTGTTTTCCGTTACGTGTCATGAAGTTTATTGACAATTACATATAAAGAGAATTAAAAACTCCCAGCTTTAGAGATCCTGATCAAAGGGCATGAGCATTATTACTCCATTTCCTCCTAAATCTCTTGTTACTTTGAGGCATGTATGTTTAAGTTTTCCAGCGAAGCCAGACAAAAAATCTATTATCTTCATATTGTACAGCTTTGAAGTGTTTTCTTCTTCACATTCGTTATAGTTAACGATTTTTTAAGATCTGGTTGATCTCTTTTAGAGCCGAAAACGAAGCACGACAGGCAGATTCTCCTGGACAATTTCTTGACGCTTTTCTTGGCGGGCAAGTATTTTCATTTCAGAATATTTTATTGATATAAACAATCAATAGGATTAGACAGCAGGCTAGAGCCTATATAAGTCTTCTCCCAAGACAACATGGTGGTTAGACATAAATGTAATCGTGATGTTCTTGTGGTGAAATAACGACAAGGTCACGGGGGTTAGGTACGACATTTATTCCGACCTTTATCAGGACATCTTAAAAGCTCTGTAACAAATAATATAAAACAGACTTAACTACACATTCAAGCTAACCATACTTTCTTAACTTTCACACACAAAGGGAAATCACTCTCACAGCACTTATAAAATTGTTACTTATCAATCGTATACTACTACGATTTACAAATTAGACGTTTACAGCTATTATCATAGACTTTTATATCGATAATATTTATATCGATCAAATGAATATATAGTTACAATGCCAAGATGCATTTATCTTTACAAGTTATATTGAGTTAAAAGTTAAAATATAATCATACATATACAAAAATACAGATATATACCAGAATAATGGCTCAAAGCCCATGTCCTAAAACTGACCATGGAGCTACACCAAGCCAAGAGACGGTCCAGTTCAATATATATGAATTCAATTAGGCTTATTGAACACGTCCAGTCTGTTCAAAGGAACGCCTCAGTCTGACAAGACAAAAGCCTGAATAAAGAAATATCCCGCCAAATCGCCCAATAAAAACAACCAATGAAACAACAGAAACTATGTGACATAACACCACAAAGACTGACCACTTGGACATTACAATTACTGGTACAATACAGACGAAACGAAACGGCACTAAATACAGATACATTACTATATGATACAGACGATACTAATTCGGGCAATATGTGTTACGGACGCGACAATTCGATACTCTAGACGATTGGAGAATAATATTAAAATAATGCCAAAACACAATAATACATATTTAATGAAACAACTTAAAAATACACGAAATAATGTCCTTGCTACATCAACATAATACACAATACACTATAAACATACATACAGACAAATATACGTACATTACACACATACAAACCTCACATAACATACATACAATCATAAATTAACTGTTGGGAGAGTAATCAATTTTAAATTATGGGAGACAACTCTGTTATTTTTCATAACTTTTTTATCAGTTTTTTCTAATTATATTTTGTCTTAGTTTTAGATTTGTTTTATACTTTCAATTTATGTCAGTAGATACTAAACAATAAACATTAAAGCCTTTCTGTATCATCAATATACTTAACTACAACATCCAACAATGATTTATTGATGTGGGTGGTACAGACTGGGCAGCCATGCAAAACATAGTTCAGTTCCTAGTGGTTATGATTAGGGTTGTTTAGGGTTTGTAATAGACTTTTCTAGGGTTAATATATCTAGGGCAGTCAAAAAACAAATGTTGAGCTGTTTCAGTTCGGGTACCACATGCACAAAATGGGTCATCATAAAGATGGTCTTTATGTAGGTCATGATTGAGAGAGCTGGCTGAATCCCTTAGCTGAAATAGAATGATATTTAATTTTCTTGGTCCTCCTTCTCTAAAAATGATGTTATTCTTACAAGCTTGAGGATTTGTCCTAAACAGAGTTTTTCAAAGTGCCTTACAGAGTGAATGTTATTTAGGAGATAACTTATTTGATTAAATTCAGATATCATGTTTGGAAAGAAACTATCCATATAGCTCACAGTTCGACCAACAGGTTCATCAAAGATTCTGTTATTTCGAAGTTGATACCTTGATTCTTCAAAACTGTTAAATAATAGTTGGAAAATATCAAATAAGTATTCAGGTGTTTCTTTATTTAGGACTTTGTACATTAAGATCATGTTGTGTTTTTTCCTTCTATAATCTGATATCAATCCAGCTCTGAATAAAGTTTTTCATGTGAGGTACCACTGTGTAACCCAGTTATTGACCTTGTAGCCTCAAGATTTATAGATTCCTATAGAGTTTTAGCATAGACTGGATAGTTATCCCAGACAGCATCAGCATACTCTAAAATTGGCTTAATATGGGATATATATAGTATTGAAAGGGACTTTCTGTCTAAATTATTTTTTAGAGGTCTCAGAATATTCATTTTTTATTTGCTTTTTTATACATAAAATATGTGCTTATTCCATTTGCTATCACTACTGAATACTAAACCAAGATGCTTGTGGTCGGAAGAGGTTGTGACAAGTTGATTGTTGAAATAAATATCTGGATGGTTTGGTATGGTTTTCCTTGTAAATATTATTGATTCTGTTTTAGATGGATTAAACTGAATATCCCATTGTTAAGCCCAATCTTTTATAGAATTTAAATCATTTCCAAGAGACTCAGCCACTTCAACTGGATAATCATTGACTACCTTAAATAGAGAGGTATCATCAGCAAACAATTTAATAGAGCTATTAACACAGTCAGTGATATCATTTATGTCCAGTATAAAGAGAAAAGGTCATAAAACTGAGTCCTGAGGGACACCTGCATTCACATATTTAAAGGTTGAGGCAAAGACTTCAATCCCCACACGTTGTTTTCTATTAGATAAATATTTTTGTAGCCACCTTAAAACATTACCTTTAATTCCATAAGATTCAAGCAAGTATAATAAACCATCATGCCAGACTCTATCAAATGCCTTGCTTATATCACAAAATATAAATCTCAACTCTTTATTATCATCTAAGCTACTTACTATATTGTGATACATGTATATGGAAATTCTTAGGCATAACTCCTGACTGATATTTCGATATAATTTCAGATAAAGAAAGACGGTTGGACAAATATTTAAATATGATCTTTTCTGGCATCTAACTAAAACATGAGGTCACTGAAATAGGTCAGTAATTGGTTACATCATTTTCTATCCCCCTTTCCTTTATAGATAGCAGGACGTTAGAACATTTCCAACTGGAAGGTATAATACCTGTCTCAAGGGTTTTATTACAAAGTATAGTGAGAGGTGATAAGATAGAAGGAGCACGCATTTGAATCATTTTCGGATAGAGATTATCAGGCCCTGATGGTTTCTTAAAATTTAGTAAAAAAAGCTTATCTTTAACATCTTGTTCAGAAATAATGATATTGTCAATAGTATAAGGTGTAGCAGAAACAACAGGGGAAAGAGGTTCAAGGTTAACAGAAGAAGAAGATAGAAGTGAAATAGTTATTTAGACATTCAGCAAAGGGATGACTTCTATAGTACCGTTTGTCACACAATGGTGGTAAAGAGAAAGATTTATCGTTGGTTTTGAACACTGCGTTGGCAATTTTCCACCATTTACTGGGAGGGAAAGATTTGTCACATAACGTTTTCGCTAGGTTATAATAATAACTCCTTTTTACATTTCTTATTAGATAAATTACATTTTTTTTCTGTCTGTAATTTTCCCACTGATGTGGTGATGAACTTGCTTTAGCTTTTTCGTGAATTCGATTTCGTTGCCTAATATTTAATTTGTTTGATTCATCCATGGTTTGTCATGAACTTTTTTGCTTTATCATTTATAGAGTTCGTGTAATTTTTTTGGAGGGGAAACTGCTGGATAAGATCATTTATAGAGTAAATAGGTCGAATAGTAATTTTTTTGGAGGGGATAAACTGCTGGATAAGATCATTTATAGAGTAAATAGGTCGAATAGTAATTTTTTGGAGGGGATAAACTGCTGGATAAGATCATTTATAGAGTAAATAGGTCGAATAGTAATTTTTTTGGAGGGGATAAACTGCTGGATAAGATCATTTATAGAGTAAATAAGAAATTGTATAAGCTCTTCAGCTGTCATAGTATTAAATATTTCATCTCAGTCTAATATTGCCAATTCGTTGTTCATGCGGGCAAGTATTGTTTTACTAAATCCTTATATAGTATATGTATTGCTTAGATATCGTTAATAAATCTAAAAAAAGCTGATGTATTTGATAACTATGACCTGATCCTGTGTATTTCAGGTCAGGAGACCATATCCTGTCTATAGTCTTTCTGTTTATGACATCATTCTCTGTATTCAGGTCAGGAGACCACACCGTGTCTATGGTCTTTCTGTCTATGACATCATCATCTGTATTTCAGCCAGGAGACCACACTGTGTCTATGGTCTTTCAGTTTATGACATCAGCCTCTGTATTTCAGGCCAGGAGACCACACCGTGTCTATGGTCTTTCATTTATGACATCAGCCTCTGTATTTCAGGCCAGGAGACCATACCCTGTCTATAGTCTTTCTGTTTATAACACCATCCTCTGTATTTCAGGCCAGGAGACCATATACTGTCTATAGTCTTTCTGTTTATAACACCATCCTCTGTATTTCAGGCCAGGAGACCACATCCTGTCTATTGTCTGTCTGTTTATGAAATCATCCTCTGTATTTCAGGCCAGGAGACCACATCCTGTCTATTGTCTGTCTGTTTATGAAATCATTCTCTGTATTTCAGGCCAGGAGACCATACCCTGTCTATAGTCTTTCTGTTTATAACACCATCCTCTGTATTTCAGGCCAGGAGACCACATCCTGTCTATTGTCTGTCTGTTTATGAAATCATCCTCTGTATTTCAGGCCAGGAGACCACGTCCTGTCTATAGTCTGTCTGTTTATATCATCATTCTCTGTATTTCAGGCCAGGAGACCACGTCCTGTCTATAGTCTGTCTGTTTATAACATCATTCTCTGTATTTCAGGCCAGGAGACCACGTCCTGTCTATAGTCTGTCTGTTTATAACATCATCCTCTGTACTCAGGTCAAGAGACCATATCCTGTCTTTTGTCTTTCTGTTTATGACATCATCCTCTGTATTTCAGGCCATGAGACCACGTCCTGTCTATAGTCTGTCTGTTTATAACATCATCCTCTGTACTCAGGTCAAGAGACCATATCCTGTCTATTGTCCTTCTGTTTATGAAATCATCCTCTGTATTTCAGGCCAGGAGACCACATCCTGCCTATAGTCTGTCTGTTTATGAAATCATCCTCTGTATTTCAGGCCAGGAGACCACGTCCTGTCTATTGTCTTTCTGTTTAATAAGCCTTGGAAAGCATCCCCATATCTTAAAAAGGTAGATATGAAATATCGACACTAACAAACAGCAAGAAAATATCAACGTTAACACAATTATAATGCGAACTCAAATTTATTTAAAGTATGTTAAAATATGAAAAAAATAAAGATTTACAGTGAGACTCCTGAAAAAGTACAAGGAGACCGTGTATTCCGGGTGTTTTAAGCATTTTTGCCTTTTTAATCTAACGAAACAGTTGACTAGTCTCGATATGCAGCTGATAACCAATTTTAAGAACACGTATATGTTGACAAACATTGTTTTGCGAAAATGTTAGCTCTGATATTGTAATGGTAAATGTGCTATGTAACACTTTTCCTACCAGATAATTACACTGGATACTGATCTGGTGATCGCTTACATTTTCGTTCTAGACTTAGAGATGAAATAGACAGAGTGGTTGGTGAAAAACCTTCTGTAGAATTCGAGGATCTCTGCGAAGTACATTACTTAGATATGGTAATACAAGAGACCTTGAGAAGATACCCGCCAAGTGCTGCAACCTATCGGGAGTCTAACCACAACGATGTCATCGATGGCTTCCCCATACCAAAGGAAACGGCAGTCTGTGTGGGTAGACTTATGTTATAACTGTATGGGAAACTTTCATATTCTTGTTTAATGAAAATATTTCTGTTCGTCTTGTATACGATCTAGAGGATTAAAAGCCGAATGTTCGTGAGATAGTACTGATGTATATACATCTGTTATAATAGACCTATTGTTTATTTCCTTTCAGTTCAGTATGTACGTTTTGTCCAACCAGGAAGAGTATTTCTCTGATCCATTAGAGTTTCAACCAGAGAGATTCAGCGAGGAAAACAGAAAACGGTATATGAGACACTCTGTGTTCACGTAATACACGTGATACAATATTGTATAGCAGGTTTTAGCTTATCATAAATATAGGATTATCGATAAATCAAAAGTTCTTTGTCACAGATTCGATAACGAAAATGTCAAAGAAGTTTCGAAATGTCAAAAGAAAAATAGAATGAATCCATCTTATTTTGAAATAAACAGGTGCTTTTGAAGTGCCCCAGTAACCAAAATGAGCGAAAATACCTATTTCTTTTAACTATATTCTGATGCCTACAACGGTACATGTCATGCATCACCTGTTGAGAAATTGATTTTGAATTTGAAGTTACTGGATGTAGGAAATTCTGACATATAAAATGTCGAAAATTTAACTTTTGTTACGATGCTCTTTTCCTAAAAGGTACACACAAAGTATTTTAAAAAAAATCAATATGTAACTACAGTGCTTTTAATGTTATAGGTATCAGAATATGTTCTAGGATATATGTAATTTCAATTATTTCATTTATTCCTCGGTTTTTTCTCAACAATTTTTTTCTTCATTAAAGTACAATATAATGATACTGAAATAATATGCATTAAAATAATGTGAAAATGTTATATTTTCAATTTAGCTGCCGAAAACGAAAAATCCCTAGCAACGGAAATCAATTGTAATTTTTATACAGAAAACCAAATAATGACATCAATTACATCATCACTAAAAGTAGCCCCGGAAAAAATTCTACAGAACGTCATGTCAAGCGCTCCATTTTTGGAAAAATCAAGTTTCACTGTTCATTGTACGCTTCCTCACCTCCTCAAAAAGTACGTTGTCATGACCCCCGACATCATTTTTCGACTTTGTGCCTTGTTTCCAGTGTTCGATATCAAACTACATGGTATTCTAGACAAAGCCATAAATGGTCCTCTTGGATTTCCGTCGTCCCTGATCAAAGGAATTATATTGAAATGGTTATTACTGACTCTTTTCGTGTCGTTGGTAATGTTTGATGCAATTAAATATTTCATATCGTCTGTTAACGACAACTTGAAACATTTTGCAGAACTTTATATCAATTATATCTTTTACGTAAACCAAGTTCATTGAATTAAATTGGTAATCTATGAAATTATCACAGTCACCTGGTGATCAAGAATATAACCGTGGTGACTTGGTGATCTATAATATAACCGTGGTGACTTGGTGATCTATAATATAACCGTGGTGACTTGGTGATCTATAATATAACCGTGGTGACTTGGTGATCTATAATATAACCGTGGTGACTTGGTGATCTATAATATAACCGTGGTGACCTGGTGATCTATACTATAACCGTGGTGACTTGGTGATCTATAATATAACCGTGGTGACTTGGTGATCTATAATATAACCGTGGTGACTTGGTGATCTAGAATATAACCGTGGTGACTTGGTGATCTATAATATAACCGTGGTGACTTGGTGATCTATAATATAACCGTGGTGACTTGGTGATCTATAATATAACCGTGGTGACCTGGTGATCAAGAATATAACCGTGGTGACTTGGTGATCTATAATATAACCGTGGTGACTTGGTGATCTATAATATAACCGTGGTGACTTGGTGATCTATAATATAACCGTGGTGACTTGGTGATCTAGAATATAACCGTGGTGACTTGGTGATCTATAATATAACCGTGGTGACTTGGTGATCTATAATATAACCGTGGTGACCTGGTGATCTATAATATAACCGTGGTGACCTGGTGATCTATAATATAACCGTGGTGACTTGGTGATCTATAATATAACCGTGGTGACTTGGTGATCTATAATATAACCGTGGTGACCTGGTGATCTATAATATAACCGTGGTGACTTGGTGATCTATGATATAACCGTGGTGACTTGGTGATCTATAATATAACCGTGGTGACTTGGTGATCTATAATATAACCGTGGTGACTTGGTGATCTATAATATAACCGTGGTGACTTGGTGATCTATAATATAACCGTGGTGACTTGGTGATCTATGATATAACCGTGGTGACTTGGTGATCTATGATATAACCGTGGTGACTTGGTGATCTATAATATAACCGTGGTGACTTGGTGATCTATAATATAACCGTGGTGACTTGGTGATCTATAATATAACCGATGTGACTTGGTGATCTATAATATAACCGATGTGACTTGGTGATCTATAATATAACCGATGTGACTTGGTGATCTATAATATAACCGTGGTGATTTATACTATACTTTACTGATTATATTATGCTGTATTATTCTACACTATACCAGTAACTTTTTACCACCTCTATGTCTTTACAGAATCGGTAATTATAAATACTTTCCTTTCTCAATGGGTCCACGGACATGCATTGGGAAACATTTTGCGGAGGTAAGAAAATAACTTGATTATGATGTGATACAGATGTTACATCAGGATAACATATGATGTTATTAGTTGTGATACATGTAGATCAGTATCCAGTTATAATTACGGTAAAAACGATACGGACATAGGTGTACAGCTGGACGGCGTTGTAATAAAATTATTCATCAGCCTATATTGTGCAATAATGGTTCCGTATACAAGAAGAATCCACGATGGACAATGTTGTAATAGTGACTAGAATGTCCTCAGTATTCGAGAAGCCTAAGGTTTTCCGCCATTTGTATCTCTTAACTGTAAACTATTGCAAATTGTAACTCTGTAACCTTAATGACAGTCAAATCTATATTTACTCTTTACAGATAGAGTCGAAGATAATACTGGTGAAATTCTTACAGTGGTTCAACTTTACTTTGGTTCCGGATCAGTCAACTGACATTGAGGAAATGCTTCTCCATAGGCCGAAAGATGGCGCTTTATGTACGTTAACATTACGTGACCGATGACAGCGGATGAATTTATTGTGGACAGTGTTGTAATGGATTTGTTTACCAATATCCTCTGGACAGCGGTACTTCGGTATACCATATCAATTTATCTATGAATATTATCTGAATGAAACATCTAGTTTCCTGGGGTGGAAATAGGAGACATCTGTTCTTATAACAGTAGATTTCATCAGGAAAGTTGTATCGTCGAGATTTCACGACGACAAGTACAGGAAACTATTACAGCTATTTGCAGAAGCAAACATTTTCTAGACAGTTATATAGAGTGGTTTGTGTGTATCATCTCTCACTCCCACTAATTGATTTTATCGACCACATTATTGTTATTCCCGCCCAACAAAGTTGGCGAGAAATATCCAAATGGGTTCCGTCCGTTCGTTCGTCCGTCTAGCCGTCTGGATGCTGCTTTTCGCATATCTTTTGAAGGAGTTGTCGGATTTTAATGGAACTTGGTTGGTACACTTGCTGACTTAATCTCTTGCCATAGGTTGACTAACAGCGAATTCGGTGCATATTTAATGAGGCTACTGCGACCTGGTTGACTGATTTCTTTAATCACTCTATGGGAATTCTTTATGCGCCTTATCTTATGAAGGAATGATAAGATTTTTAGGAAACTCGCTTTGTAGACTTATTACTGTAATTCCTTGTTCAGGTCCGATTATTGGCAAATTCTGTGCATATTTTATAAGGCTACTGTAACCTGGTTGACTGATATAGTTTAGCACTCTAACTGAATGCTTTCCACATGTTGCCTTTTGAAGGAACAAATGAATTATAATGAGGCTTGCTTGGTAGACTTGTTACCTTAACCCCTTGCACAAATACAATATATCTATTCTGATATTTGTGTTGTATCTATTCCTATATGCTTTAATATGTCTCCTGTCTTACAAGCACGCCGTTAGAACATGTTAATAAGTGATTGTAAAGACAAACCACCAGGATCATATCAGGCAACAAAAATGGTTTCATTTAACAGGGGCTGTTATTGTCTTCTTCACTGTGAATGGATTCCTTTAACAATGTGTACATACACAGAGGAAATGACATTACCTTGTAAAGAGATATTGTTATGGGCGTGTGTGTTCGTTAGGTTGCGGTCATGTTAAAAAGGATCGGAAATGACAATAAAAAAACCAAACAAACATGGAGCCCCATTCAGGTCGGATGTGTCGATGGAGCTCCATTCAGGTTATATGTGTCGATGGAGCCCCATTCAGGTCGTATGTGTCGATGGAGCTCCATTCAGGTTATATGTGTCGATGGAGCCCCATTCAGTTCGTATGTGTCGATGGAGCGCCATTCAGGTCGTATATGTCGATGGAGCCCCATTCAGTTCGTATGTGTCGATGGAGCGCCATTCAGGTTATATGTGTCGATGGAGCCCCATTCAGGTCGTATGTGTCGATGGAGCGCCATTCAGGTTATATGTGTCGATGGAGCCCCATTCAGTTCGTATGTGTCGATGGAGCGCCATTCAGGTCGTATATGTCGATGGAGCCCCATTCAGTTCGTATGTGTCGATGGAGCGCCATTCAGGTTATATGTGTCGATGGAGCGCCATTCAGGTCGTATGTGTCGATGGAGACTAATTCAGGTTATATGTGTCGATGGAGCCCCATTCAGGTCGTATGTGTCGATGGAGACTCATTCAGGTTATATGTGTCGATGGAGACTAATTCAGGTTATATGTGTCGATGGAGCCCCATTCAGGTCGTATGTGTCGATGGAGACTCATTCAGGTTATATGTGTCGATGGAGCGCCATTCAGGTTATATGTGTCGATGGAGCGCCATTCAGGTCGTATGTGTCGATGGAGACTCATTCAGGTTATATGTGTCGATGGAGCGCCATTCAGGTCGTATGTGTCGATGGAGCTCCATTCAGGTTATATGTGTCGATGGAGCCCCATTCAGGTCGTATGTGTCGATGGAGCGCCATTCAGGTTATATGTGTCGATGGAGCCCCATTCAGGATAATGAAATATTTCTTTATTGTTATTAATATATAAACCTGCCATATTATGTAGTAGATAAAAACATCGAACACGCCGTAAGATATCTTCATAACTGCACATCTGAATGTTAATCCTTTTTATTCGTGAATTGTACTCGTTGTTATCGGCACGTGACAGAATCGCTGTACACTCTTTTAGGTAGCAGGCGTCATTTGCAGTAAACTTCATTTAAATAGTGTCTCTATTTTGTATTAAGTTCACGTGTTCAGGACATCATTGTCGGCTTTGATCCGGCTGTAAAATCCATGATACAACTACATGCACTTCTGAAATCCCAAATAAGGAGCTGAAAAAACAGAAACTCACAGTGCAGTTTGTAAATACTGTGAACTACACACAATATTGGACTATGTAAATACATCCGAACACTCGAGACATTTTTAGAATCAATCCTATTTACGAGATTGTTGTTTCGAGAAGGTTATTTTTGACGTTGTTTGGTTCGTTTAAAGCACAAATAGTAATGCATCAAGTGAAAGTACATCAATTAGTTTGAAATGTTCTGTAGTGTCATGTGTGATCGATAAATACCGTTTGAGTCGTGTGATCAATAGATACCGATTGGGTGTCATGTGTGATTGATAGATACTGATTGAGTCATGTGTGATCGATAGATACTGATTGAGTCATGTGTGAGCGATAGACACTGATTGAGTCATGTGTGATCGATATATACTGTTTGAGTCATGTGTGATCGATATATACCGTTTGAGTCATATGTGATCTATAGACACTGTTTGAGTCATGTGTGATCGATAGATACTGATTGAGCCATGTGTGATCGATAGACACTGTTTGAGTCATGTGTGATCGATAGATACTGATTGAGTCATGTGTGATCGATAGATACTGATTGAGTCATGTGTGGTCGATAGACACTGTTTGAGTCATGTGTAATCGATAGATACCGTTTGAGTCATATGTGATCTATAGACACTGTTTGAGTCATGTATGATCGATAGATACTGATTGAGTCATGTGTGATCGATAGACACTGTTTGAGTCATGTGTGATCGATAGATACTGATTGAGTCATGTGTGATCGATAGATACTGATTGAGTCATGTGTGGTCGATAGACACTGTTTGAGTCATGTGTAATTGATAGATACCGTTTGAGTGTCATATGTGATCGATAGACACTGTTTGAATCATGTGTGATCGATAGATACTGATTGAGTCATGTGTGAGCGATAGACACTGATTGAGTCATGTGTAATCGATAGACACTGTTTGAGTCATGTGTGATCTATAGATACTGTTTGAGTCATGTGTGATCGATATATACCGTTTGAGTCATATGTGATCTATAGATACTGTTTGAGTCATGTGTGGTCGATAGATACTGATTGAGTCATGTGTGAGCGATAGACACTGATTGAGTCATGTGTAATCGATAGACACTATTTGAGTCATGTGTGATCGATAGATACTGATTGAGTCATGTGTGAGCGATAGACACTGATTGAATCATGTGTAATTGATAGATACTGATTGAGTCATGTGTGATCGATAGATACCGTTTGAGTGTCATATGTGATCGATAGATACCGTTTGAGTCATATGTGATCTATAGATACTGTTTGAGTCATGTGTGGTCGATAGATACTGATTGAGTCATGTGTGAGCGATAGACACTGATTGAGTCATGTGTAATCGATAGACACTGTTTGAGTCATGTGTGATCGATAGATACTGATTGAGTCATGTGTGAGCGAAAGACACTGATTGAGTCATGTGTGATCGTGTGATCGATATATACCGTTTGAGTCATATGTGATCTATAGACACTGTTTGAGTCATGTGTGATCGATAGACACTGTTTGAGTCATGTGTGATCGATAGATACTGATTGAGTCATGTGTGATCGATAGATACTGATTGAGTCATGTGTGGTCGATAGACACTGAGTCATGTGTAATCGATAGATACCGTTTGAGTGTCATATGTGATCGATAGACACTGTTTGAGTCATGTGTGATCGATAGATACTGATTGAGTCATGTGTGATCGATAGATACTGATTGAGTCATGTGTGGTCGATAGACACTGTTTGAGTCATGTGTAATTGATAGATACCGTTTGAGTGTCATATGTGATCGATAGACACTGTTTGAATCATGTGTGATCGATAGATACTGATTGAGTCATGTGTGAGCGATAGACACTGATTGAGTCATGTGTAATCGATAGACACTGTTTGAGTCATGTGTGATCTATAGATACTGTTTGAGTCATGTGTGATCGATATATACCGTTTGAGTCATATGTGATCTATAGATACTGTTTGAGTCATGTTTGGTCGATAGATACTGATTGAGTCATGTGTGAGCGATAGACACTGATTGAGTCATGTGTAATCGATAGACACTGTTTGAGTCATGTGTGATCGATAGATACTGATTGAGTCATGTGTGAGCGATAGACACTGATTGAATCATGTGTAATTGATAGATACTGATTGAGTCATGTGTGATCGATAGATACCGTTTGAGTGTCATATGTGATCGATAGATACCGTTTGAGTCATATGTGATCTATAGATACTGTTTGAGTCATGTGTGGTCGATAGATACTGATTGAGTCATGTGTGAGCGATAGACACTGATTGAGTCATGTGTAATCGATAGACACTGTTTGAGTCATGTGTGATCGATAGATACTGATTGAGTCATGTGTGAGCGATAGACACTGATTGAATCATGTGTAATTGATAGATACTGATTGAGTCATGTGTGATCGATAGATACCGTTTGAGTGTCATATGTGATCGATAGATACCGTTTGAGTCATATGTGATCTATAGACACTGTTTGAGTCATGTATGATCGATAGATACTGATTGAGTCATGTGTGATCGATAGACACTGTTTGAGTCATGTGTGATCGATAGATACTGATTGAGTCATGTGTGATCGATAGATACTGATTGAGTCATGTGTGGTCGATAGACACTGAGTCATGTGTAATCGATAGAT